GAACAAAAACGAACCTGTATCTCCATGTAATCTGTTCACCGACCCTGAACCAAGACCAGCTACCATGGAGCAGAACTTGGAAATCAATATAAAACCCCCCGAACTAACACAGGACAAAATGATCGCGAATTAAGTTCCAGTGGTAGCAAGAGCGCATCAAGTTCCAGAGGCGAGGACTTGTCAACTCTACAAGGGCATAATACTTTGTGAGAAAAATTACATGGCGTTGGCAAGGCTCATCATACTGCTTTGGTAGATGAATTGTTTGACGGTAATATAGGTGACCGTCCTTGAGGGTAATACAGACCCAGAGGCAGATATAAATACTCCGCCACTTTTACCCAATTACGATGATAACCGTCGAAAACCATTTAAGACTGGGTATGTTATCCAGACGCATGGATCACCCAAGGATATAATACCAACTGCTATTCGTGGAACAGAGGTATTAAACACCCCCGTAGATGTTCTAATCGCTTCGATTGCACAGCATTACACCATCCCGGAGAGGATTTTCACTTTGACGAGGTGGCTGACCTTAATAAATCAGTCGACGATTACACCATTAAAATAGAAATCGCCCATGATGCGCATCATGCTGATGACGTAGCATACTATGCGAATATTATTGCGAATAAGCAACAGCGCATAGACCAACTACTTTAGGCCCAACGTGGACACGACCACAGGGATAACCAGAAGTACAAAGGACAGATCAGTCGACCTAAGTCGAACTGGGATGCCAACAGTAAGCAGATCGGGTTTATAAATAACCATGACCTCGACACGCTAACCTGTACGCTTAATGCGTTTACGGTCATGCTGGAGACGAATCATATCCCTCCCCAGCAATGGATCTCTGCTTCAATGCAGACGTTTGACCCTACAGGTACAAGTTATTACCAACATGAGCTAGACACTTGTCGTGACTGGCCAGCTGTGTGTTGGTTGATTAAATCCTTGTTAAGTAAAGACACGCGTAGCCCAGGACTGAGTTCAATTTAAACTGAACCAGTTGAGAACACGCCCATTCAGAGTTATATTCTGAAGCTAGATGCTGACCTGAAACGTCCAGATATGACAAAGAACAATTCACAGTGATGGTACGAGTTCCTGGTTATGCACGTGTTCTGTAAGAACATAGGGAATACCGACCGTGAGAATCTATATACCGAGTTGCGACGTAAACACGCGACTGAGGCTCGAGACAAGGGACATGAAACAAAGTTTCATCTATCCCGACTTACGTGAGAACAGTTTTATGATACTGTATCCATCTTTCCCCCCGCACACCGAGTAACATCGAAGGCAAAAGTGGCTGTCAAGAAGCCGCGGGAGGACACCAATTACGGATACGTATCCAGGCAGACCTCAAACAAGAAACCTCAACAAACACGGCGCTCGTGACACCACTCTATCCACGCGACCCAAAAAAAAACGGGCACGCGCGGAGACGAAGGACATGGAACCTCTATTTAAGGAGATTAAGAAACGTGCCAACGCACAGTGTGAGTATGACATGTATCAATTGACCTTTAACGGGTATTGGAATGGCAGTCATGCATCCACCTGTACACACTTTCTCATTAAGTGCGACAAGTGTGCGAAGACCAATGGCTATCCCACTAAGTCTTGTGACAAAAAGCCCGACATTACGTTAGAGTGAAAGTACTACCAGGTACAATCGTTACACAGACAATACAACGACTCTTTAGTTGAGCGTGTAACAATCCCTGTATACTGTAATGGAAATAAAATCCTTACATTGATTGATCCTGGTTCTGAAATTTCATGTATACCCGATCGCTTTTCATTAATTAAAGATGTCGAAAGGAGAACACAAACAACTCACCTCATTTTAGCGGATTATAAAATTTCTAAGTGTGATACCATGGGCCACAGATGTTAAAATCTCCCTGGCAGATGATAGGAGGGTCACTACCCAAGCTGTGATAGTTAAGATTAGTATTTCTCATATTATTAATGATGAAGAATCGGTTAGGTCGGAAAGCATTCGTACCAGCAATTTTTTTTTGGGCATTTGCACGCATGCGCATTATCAGCTTACATTGACGTTACCAGTTACGGCTGCATTGATGCTCTCTCTTATTTATCGCCCCGTAAAGTTTGCTGTATGTAACCAGATCAATTTTATAAATTTAGCATTTTTCGATAGCAAACATCAGAAAGGTTACTGCCACAAATACAGCTTATTTCACAACATACCTCAGTTATCAGTTACGTATGCGATATACGATGCTCGAAAAGGAATAGTATTCAAATATTTTGTGACCGTTATATTAAACTAGGGAACGCCCGTCTACATGCACGTTAATTTATTTATTTATTATCTATCTATCTTTCCCGCTCTTTCTAACGGATCAATAAAAACATACTACCTATTTATAGTAAGAAGTGGTCGAGAGAGGGACGCTTAACTTGGAGGTGGTCGAGAGAGGGACGTTTAATTGGTGGTGGGCGAGAGAGGGACGCTTAATTGGTGCTGGGCGAGAGAGGGACGCTTAATTGGTTGTGGGCGAGAGAGGGACGCTTAACTTGGAGGGAGGCGAGAGCGGGACGCTTAACAGCCGTAGTCATAAGATTTAGCCATACCAGCCGTAGTCTTCAGAGTTCCCGAAATCTTGTCTTGTCAATTGAGTAGATTCCGGCAATATTCAATACAGGTCTGGAGTCTGAACTCTGGAGTCTGGAACTCTGGACGACTGGTCTCAGGATTACGTTTCCAGTGGTTTTATAGTGATTTTCTATTCTCTCCAAAATACAAAAGTTTGAGTTTGTGAAGAAAAAGATATAATTTTGTACATACATATTTATCTCAGGTTTACAGTAAATAAATACTATATTTAGTTCCTGTTCTGGAACTGGGACTTCGCGACCAAGTATTGGGACTTCGAGTGACTTGGGGGTTTTTTTTCTTCCTAAATTCACCAACGGATTCTTCATTGGGGATTCATCGGGGATTCGAGGTATATTTATGTACATACTTCCACATTTCAAAAAAAAAAATGGATTAAAAAGTGACTCAGTCACGCGTTCTGACTCCCTTACCGAGCGATCCGAGTCCCGGTCTCACGAAGGCCGGAGCCTCCGACAGACCGACAGTCCCACTGTAAGTAAACATATATATATTTGTATTCTATTAAAAATAGGGAACTACATGCGTCATACTGATAAATACAGTTGTACGTTGGCTTTATATTTAAATAAATATTACAAATATTAATAAAAAAAACAATCGAAAATGAGTCACCAGATTTCAGATTTCCTGACCAAACAAATGGTTTATGTATACGTACGGGGTAAATAAAGTGAGAGACTACAAATGGGTGTGAGCCTGTGAGGGTCATAGAGACTGTCTGATACTCTGAGTGCCAAATCTGCCAATACTCTTTAGAGCCACATGTAAAACAAGCCTATGTGGTTATTCAAAATTTCCGAAACTGGATTTCTTGAATTCTTTGTAAATATGATGGGTTCCAACTTCCAATTTACTACTTCCTTCCGCTTACATATTTATATATTTTTTGAAAAGAAAACAATATTTACTATGGACGAATGTGGTCACTGGTCAGCTATTTATATATATATATATATTTTAAGAATAAATACTATTTTAATCTAAATATCCCTACTTCTGACGTATTTAAAATTTTACATAAAATTGGGGTTTTATTTCATCTTAAAAGAAAGTAGATGTAAATACTCGTGTACTAGTGAAAAATAGTCATGTATTTACTGAAAAAAAAATGGTGCTGCACTCCCCTGAATAGCGGAAGGAAAAAACTAAAAAGTTCAAATTTTCGAGAAAATAACCCAGAGAATTAACATATGTACATACACAACATTTTATTTATTTTTTACGACAGAACTATTTTTGCAAAATATATTTTAAAGAGCAACGCATAATTTTTTTTACCGCTTTCTCATCGGAGTGTAATACTGTGAAAAGTTTGTAATCTTATAGCTGACGCATGACTGTTTTACTGACATGCAACAAATGACAATGTGAATAGTGAATGCCACATGTGACTATGAGTGACTGACATGTCGCAGTCTGCCTAGTGCCTGTACCCCACCAGTGACCAAGGGCCAGGGTCAGCAGTGTGACCGACTGTCCGAGTGTCTCTGTTCTACTCTCTCTTGTCTCTGTTCTACTCTCTCTTGTCTCTCTACTCTAGTAGTCTCTACTACTATTTTAAAATAGTTAGAGAGAGAGAGGGTTACCGGTTATGGTTGAACTCTAAACTCTGAACTGAACTTTTGAAGTCCAGCGCATTCCAATCGATTTAGGATTGAGCAGGCTGCTGGCCTGCGAGGCACCAGAGCTAACCTCAAACCGTTTCCCGTTAAAACTTTTATAAATCGAAGAAATATACTTTTACCTTCAACCGTATACAGTCCCCTCTATATTTCTAGGTGCAGTTTTCGGGTCTAAAAATTGAAGTGTGTACAGTTTTTAATAAAACAAGCAGTCCTATAGATCAATTCAGGTGGACCTTTCCAATCACGCTATAATCTTATACTGTTTAAAAAATGAATAGATATGCGTTTGCGTTCAACTTTTATCCCGTACCCCCGTAACGTAGTGAGCTTAGCCCCAGATGACAACACCAGCGCCCAGCGGTTCCGTATTTATACTTGTTTTTCCAAAACAAATCTTCTTGAAACAAGTTGCAATCCCGTGTAAAATGTAATATATATAAATATGAAATTCTTGTACATGCTGGTAAATCTGGTATACAACATGACCACTTTTATTTTTATTGTTGTCGCTTCTCGTCATCCTTAATTTATGTTTTTTTTTATAATTTATGGATTTTACCAAATCGGGCCTCTGAGGCTCTGACTCATCTGCGCCTTTTCTACTCTCCTCTCTCTCTACTAGTAGAGAGAGAGAGAGAGAGAGAGTTTCCCACTCCAGGTCTGTCAAAGAAGAGTATTCTATATCACTTAAAATATCCCCAGACAGATGGTACAATTGGAAAGTGAACACTGACTGCTTCTGGTACCCGTTGTGTCGCGGATATAAATGGTGAACGTTGTGCTCTACAATTAGCATAATCGGACAGGTACTTCAGTTGTTACAGCAGTAGAAGACAGTTTTTAGAATATTGAACTAATTATGAAGGTTTTTTCTCAGTTTATACTAGCAACATGCGCCCTCTCACTTGTTGTGGTTGCAAACCCGGCCCGTCGACAAGAAATGTCGGAGATGCCGAGTGAGGATACTACGTCTCAAGAATCTGGTGGCGTAGGGGAGAGTCTTATTATTTCTGAGATGGAAATTCCTCAAGAAACTGGTGACGTGGAGGAGAGTCTTATGGTTTCTGAGATAGCTTTGGAAGATGAGGTCTCTTGTTTGCCCGATGATACATGCCCAATCGGTTACAGTAAAGTAGCCAATGTTATGGATGGGGCAGAAGTGAACGATATGTTGCCTGTCGAGAGTGATCCTGCTGAGAGCGACGCTGCAGAGAGCGCCGTTGCTGCCGTTGAAGTATCACTCCCTGAGGATCCAAGTGATGATGCTATTGCCTGCCAGTCAGGACCCGTGTGCGAAGAATCAGGTATAACCGCGAATGGCGGCTTTGTATGCTGTACTGAAGGATATAGCATTGGGGGCTTAACGATTGGTATGGATTTCACCACATGCGAGTGTATTCCTGGTGATGCTGAGGTACGCAGAAGGCGTCAAGAGGAATCTATGGCCATGGAATCTGACGAACCCACGGCTATGGAGTCTGAGAAGATGATCGAATCTTCCATCCCACTTGCCGAGGAAACTATTGGCATGTGTATGTGCAAGAAAGATACGGATGATATCGAGAGTGTCGAGGCGATGCCTACTGAAGAAATGAGTATGAGTGACTCAGCCACCCAGAGCATGTAATTTTATAGTGATACACGCTAAAGAGAAAGACCTACATCATGTTCGAAGCAGCAGAACATGTAGACGATCACAGAACGGCTTCCTGGGCGTTCATACCTCGTGAAAATATAAAATTTGATCAGGGCGTAGCTCCTTACGAGCTATTCATGACAAATTAAATACAAATCTCAAAAAAAAAATCGGTTTTAAAAAATGCACGTCTTGTGGCAGCGCTTTCAAATCCACAACCTATTGACAACGAATTCTCGCAGTATATATTTCATAAATAAGAGCACATTCCACTGGGCGGCAGGTACGCTTCACCCTACTCGACTACAGTAAACTCGATTCAATAGTTGTTGTGGAGTATTAAAAGCAACACGATTTCATACAGTACAGAGTCACTAGCACCCCAATAGGATTCATCATGATTTCTCCGCCTATAAGCCTACCTGTCAATAAGAGTCCACAGCATCACGCAAAACAATATGATTCCGTAGATTCGCGCAAGCAAATAATTGGTCTGCGAGGACATTACCAAGTCCAACCTGATCAGCCACACTTCTAAAGTGTTCATGTAAAAGTTTTACTCGACAACTAGCTAGTGGAGACCGCATTTACGACAATTGTTGAGGGCACTAATTATCAACCGCCATACATATTTTTAATAATAAGGTTTTAAAAATTGCATTGCCACCCGGAACGTGGTAGGACTGCGGCAAGACTGACTCGTGCATGCGTTAGTCTTAAGCATTCTCAAAAAGCTATATTACCAAAGCTCTACACAAAAAACAAAACTACAGCAACGAAAAACCAGAAATCAAGACGACTATGATCAAATATGCAACAAGCACAACGTATCCCACTAAGTGTGAGCTGTGGTGGTTGTACAAGTATTTATTTTATTTTCGAAGGTTTAACCAACCCTGACAATCTCTTCTTCCAAATGCTGGAACTCTTCAAATGTGTCACTGTCGTCTTCCGGGACAGGTCTCGGTGCGGTCTTGCACATCCGTTGCATTTCTAGGGTGTCTCTTGGTAGTTTGCCGGCGATGAATACACACAACATCGCACAGACACCTCCCACAGCGTACGCGATCCCTATCGCGCGTTGTAAATAATACACATATTATTAGACTTGTTACTAAATCATATTATTACAATTGTTCCTAAACACTTCCAATTGATCCCTGACGTGCTTTTATTCTTTCCATGCCATCGGCTGCAATTAAATGCAGTATAACTAACTAGAACCAAATGCAATTTAGTTTATCTAATTGTTCCCAAATGCAATTGTAAAGTAGTCCAATACTATGCTTAATTGAGTGTAATTTACAGATAGCTAATACAAATAGGAGGCTAAGCTAGCTGGATTTACCAGTCCAAAATGGTACATTCCAAGGAACGTATTTCTTGAGATATCAGACAATGGTGGCAAGCCTTACCGAATCCGTGAGCAATACCATTTCCGTTAAGTCAAGTTTTGCAACGACGCGCAATATGACCCAGCACCCAACACACGTCGCCAAACTGATAGAGCCCTGAATACACACATCAATACATACCTGGGTAACTAAATGTGTTCGTACACGTCAGCAGGACGCCAAAAATCATCGGCGCTAGACCGATACAAACTGAGGTCAGGCAATTAAAAGATGTCTGTAGGTGAATGAGAATCGAGACATAATGAGCGCTTATTCGACCTTGCATATACTTGTCATGAATATCCGAGGTAATAGGCAGTTGTACGAAATCTGTATGTGGATAAGAATCGAAACAGAATGAACACCTATTAAACCTTATATATATACATATATACATATACATATACATATACATATACATATACATA